AAACTCTGGAAATGAAAGTGAGAGATCGAATATTGGTTTCAATCTGATTTTTATTAAATTAAATTTTTCCTTAAATACTAAATTATTACAAATTATTACAATAACAATATCTAAATTTTATTCTTTTCCTTTACCGTCTTCTTGCCTAAAGTGCAAGCTCAGCATATATTATGCAACCAAATTCTTTGTTGTGTCTAGCAACCAAGAATTAACGCCAATGCACTGGCCTTGATATATGTTACATATTCAAAGTTCAGTGCCACTGCACTTAATAAAAAATATAATGCAAATATTCAAGTTCAGTGCCACTGCATTTTACCAAATTAAATAATGCAAAGGAAAGTCAAAGTTTGGATATTGCTAACATCAGCATATATGTTTAAATTTTACAAATATTGTACAATAATAACAATAGCAATAATAATAATATTTTACAATAATAATAATAATAATATTTTACAATAATAATAATAAAATGTGTGAACAATAATAAAAAAAATAGTTCAAAAAACTTTATAAATGATATATATATATTATTTATATGAGATAATTAATTTTTTTATTTGTTCGCCACTTAGCTGTTGTTGATGTTGCTGTTTTGATGCTGCTTTTTGTGGAGCTTTTATAAATTCTGGATAATCAATTGCTGTAAATCAAGTGCTGTATCACCCAAAAACGATGTAAAATGAGATCACTTAGAGCAACTAATTCCTCACCAAAAAAAATCTTTTCTTCAATAAGTTGTTTTTGCCCTTCAGTAGGTTGTTTTTTGCTGTCTTGCTCATGCCAGTGAATAAGTGATTTTGTTAATTCACAACCATCTAATTTATAAACATTCACTGATAAATTTGGATTTTAGTTTTTTATTTTTGCTATTTTAAAAACATTTAAATTAACAAGATCAGTTTAGAAATTTCTACACAAATTAAATAAAATTGTATGTAGCGTACATTATTCTTTTAATTTTTCTTTGTTTCACTGATAAACTTGACTTTTGTTTTTTTCATATTTTTGTTAATAGTTTTTGGTTAATAATTTTTTTTAATAATTTTTGTTTATACCTTTTGTTTAATTTTTTTTGTTAATAATTTTTGTTAATAATCTTTGTTAATAACTTTTGTTTAATTTTTGGTAATAATTAATAATTTCTTTGTTAATAAGAACACGATATACTTATTCGACTTTTAAAAAAAACTGACCCACGTTTTACTTCCGCTAGATATTTTATATCCCCGTTCTTTTCGGGTCAACGTTTGGAAGTTTGGCTAGCTAACGTTCATTCTAAAACCATTCGCTCAGATACTCTTACAACATATGAGCTTTCACCATACTTAACATCCACACTCTTAAATACTTTAATGTGCACACTTAGCATCCACATAGCAACACAGCCAAAAAAAAATACCCGTAAATTACATTAACATTTATCGCAACAAGCTGTTACCTTATACCTAGCGACAGCATTGGCTAATTCCAGACAAAATTAGACTAAGCCCTCCAAATGTGTGTCAACTTCATCAGAGAAGGAGACTTGAACTCGAAGGTCATTGAAGTGAAAACAACTGGTTCGTGGTGGCGAGGCAAGTGGAGGCAGTACTCTATGCAAAAAAGAGGCGCCTGGACACAGGTAGACATTCAGAGCACCATAAAAGTTGGTTTCTGCTGTACTGTTTTTTATTGAACTGTTATAACAAATATGGAGATATAAGGATATGTGGATATATGGAAAGGTGTATATACGTTCAGCATATTTAGCTCAAAAGTGAATTGCAGTATAGATGTATATTGAATAATAACACCTAAAATAGTCACATCGCCTAAGTTTTTTTTATTCATATTGTTTTTTTTTTTTTGTTTTAATTTATATTGGCTTCTTGGGAAAAAAATCACCCGTCTCTCTAAACAATAAATTAATGATATACAAGCAAGTCTTAGCTCCGATGTGGACGTATGAAATCCAGTTATGGGATGTGCACCAAAATCCTCTATTCAATTCATTCAAAACTTTCAAAATAAAGTTTTAAGAAATTTAGTCAACGCTCCGTGGTTTATTAGGAATATTGACCTCCATCGGGATTTGAAGATCGAATCAGTGGCTGCAGTAATTCAAAAGTTCGCGGTAAAGCACCAAAAACGATTACAACAGCATCCAAACGAGACAGTCAACCATCTGTCTAATACAACTGGCCTGCTGAGGAGACTTAAACGAACTAAGCCTTCAGATCTACTACGGAATTAGTAGTCTAATAATAATTTAGATTACTACTATTAGCACTAAGTCTTTGACAACTTGACAATTCTAATAAGTATTCTGAAATATAACAAAACTGCTTTATAGTTCTTTGTATGAACTAGTCGTAGTGCAATGAAACATGTATTTATATTATTGTACATATTGTGTTTCAAATAATAAAAAAAAAAAATACAAAACCTTAATTTTTACATGCGTTAATATTTTTATTAGTAAGTTTTTTTTAAGATTTAATTTAAGATTTAATTTAAGATTTAATTTTAATTCTTAAAATTTGTTATTTATTATTTTCACGTAAAAGAATTTGTTTTTTTTTTAATCTGTTACTAAAGAAATTTGAAAAAATATAGTTATTATTAGAATGGTTACTTATAATTACAATTATATAAAAATAATAATGCTGAAAATTCGAAAGTTACATAAATTGTACCCATTGTAAATTTGCTTGCTAAACACATCAGGTGTTTGATTCTTTTTTTTTACAATTTTGTTACTTTCTCTAATTTTTTTGTAGCTAGGAACATCAGCGCATGGAGTGACGTCACTGCTACGATGCTGGTAAGTGTTCTACCAATAGAGTAATTAAAATATAAATATAAAAAAAAAATACAAACAAGGTGATGCATAGGAAGCTATTTATTTTTTTTTATTTTTATTATATTTATCTGATTTTATTTTTATATATATATATGGTTGTGTATTAAAATTCCTTTGTAAATATCTTATGAATTTTTTTTTTGTTTACATTAATATACTAATAACAATTGAGAAAAGTTTATTAAAAATGAAACTTTGTTTTACATATAAGTAAATTTTAATGTTTTTTTAATTATGAATTTATATATGAATATATTGGTTTTTATTATATAAATAGAGCTTATATTTAAGGTGTAAAAATTTTAAATTCAATTTTTTTTGTTTGTTTTCTTTTGTTGCTCTTAAACATAAGTGACAGATATAATTTTTTTTATA